TTTATATTCTTTCTGGACTATATTCTTTCTGCCTCTACTGCCACTTTAAAAACTGCCAGTATTTCTACTGTAAACACTCTATTGTGGATTTTCAAGGCAACTATAAAAACTGTATGCCTAGTAAAAATCTGATATCTAACATCATGCCACCCATGAATCATTTTGCACAATCTCATTGAAATCATTCTGATAAGACATTTTTGAAACAATCGAGGTAGTGATTTTTTAATTGTTTTCTATCTTTTGATATAAGAGGATATTTCTAAAATGTAAGGGTTTATTTCTGAATTTCACCCATGTACTAATAGGGTAAAAAGTTTGTGGCTTATAAACTATCTTTCCAAGGGCATTTCTCCTTTGTAAAATCAAGAATGCAGGAGAAGACCACCCTAATGTTTGTGTAGGTGTATCCTGGGACTGCTAATGGACCTTCTCCATGACAAAATGAGACCATCCTTTCAGAGCTCTGATATGTGAATCTTTTTTGAATCGAAGTCTGCTCACATTCAGAGTGCATTTTCTGACACTTTACCATCTTGATGCTTATTTGCAATCTTCATACTTAAAAGTGTAAATCCACAGCTCGGGGATTTCTGGCAACAAGAAAATTGGTGGCTGAGTTGTTCTGAAAAGATGATTTATGGGGATGTTCTGGTTTTATCACTGAGGAAAGTTGATCCGGATGGTTGTACGTCACACCTGATCTATATGGGAGGTGTGGGGATGGAGGGGACAGTCCCCCAACACAGGTGCCAATTGCTCTGTTGAGAAGAAGATGCAGAGTTTGCAACTGGAAAAATCCCCTTTCATTATATGATATGTTCATTCATTCACTCATAATTTGTGGACACTGTTCAGTGCCCGGGTGTGGTCTGAGGGCTCTGGAAGGAGCCAGGTCTCTGCCTCCATAGGGACAGGTGTTTTTATCTTTGCATTTAGTGGGAAGTGACCATCAGCAGACAAATAAGATGACATCAGAGTAGGATGGGTGCTACAGGGATTTCAGCAGGTAGATGTAATCTAGAACCACGCAGAGAAGAGGAGCGGTCGGTAGGACAGGCTTCTTGGTGAAGGGCCATTTGAACTCAGACCTAAAGAACAAAAAGGAACAAACCATGTGAAGGTCCAGAGGAGGAAATTTCCGAGCAGAGAAATCTGCAATCGCACAGAACCACAGTCAGGAAAAAACTGGCAGTTTCGAGAAAGAGCAAGTGGACTGCTGTGCCTTAGGCACGGGGCGTGAGTTCTGAGTGGTAAAGTGGGGAGGTGGGGGCCAAACCCTGCAAGCTCTTAGGGACATAGACCAAGCTAAGGGCTTGAATTTCATTGCAAGCTCAGCAGAAGGACACTGTCGGAGTTAAAACAGGGCAATGTTGCCACCCAATACCTTTAACGAAGAATATTCTAGCATTTCTCTGAAGAACAGACTGGAGGAAACTGAAGCAGGAATACCATTTCATCACCGTGGTGAACAATGATGGTGGCTCAGTCAGAGCTGTGTGCCTGGAGTGAAGGAGAAATGGTCACATGAGTGGCATTTAGACACAGAATGGAGAGGGTTTGCTTGGGAATTAGCTGTCCCGGGAATGGGGAAAATGCATGTGGTCAGAGCCAGGCAGGGCTGTGGGATGGAATTTGAAATTTAGGTTGGAAAGGGAGATGTTTGCCACCACAAACTTAGATCTTCAACCCGAAATCAACAAGAAGATTCTACAGAGAACAGTTCTTTTTATTGTGCCTTGGCATAATTGTGATCACTTTCTTTTGTTAAATAAGTATGCATTAGAATAAACTTGCCACTCATCCACTTTTCCAAGATTTACACATGATGCAATCTCATTAAACAAATCATCGATAGAGAGGGAGACAGATACTCATTATATACCCAGATCACCCCTGTTCTGCCTGTCTTCCCTCTCTCCCATCAACTGTCGGTGGCAAACAAAATCATTTAAGTGAACAGTTTTAAATGTATAATATTAAATGTGTTTTTAAAAACTCCTTGGAACCCTCAGCCATCGTTAAAATACACTCACTTTGACGGATGCTTTGGCACTTTTTTTATGAGGCTTTTCAATGTGTTACCTTACCGGGTGTGTGAGATTTAGTCTGTTCTGCAGAAGAAAACAGACAAAAAGGGTCTCTCAGCACGAGTTACTCTTCTGTAAAGGTTATAGTAAACATGTCAATGCCTAATTAAGCAGAAAATTTTGTCTGTACTGGTGGGGGGAGATGTTTGCTGTCTCTGACTTTTCTTCTGGGGAATCCATTTAGAAGGACAAAGTAGATTGTGAAGTTGAGCTGGTCCGGAAAGCTCAGCTTCCAAATGTCAGCAGAAAAATAGAACAAACTCCTTTATTTCCTTGTGTGAAAATGACTCCATTGTCTGGGCAGATTCTGTGTGTGTGTGTGTGTGTGTGTGTGTGTGTGTGTGTATTTGTGTGTCTATGCACACATGGGCAAGTACATACCCCCGTGTATGCATGCATGCATATATATTTCCTCAACACACATGCAAAATAACTTCCTACTTCCTACTAAGTGTTAAGTCCTATATTAGACACTGAAAATAGAGAGATATAAAAAACCTGTCAACACCCTTAACCAATTGGAATGACAGAAAGTCCTCTTTTTTGCCCCTAGATTTCTTGGCTTGCTCTGTGCTTCTCTGTGTGTTCAGGTGTGTACATGTATATGTGCATACACATTTTCTTTGTTGTCGTGATCATATTTCCTTAGGTGTGGTGACTCTATGTCTTAGTCTGGAACAGTTCAGCATTGTGTGTTGTCCCAGTGTATGTTTAATAAAATCCTTTTAATTGTTAAAAGTGACCCTGTTTGATTGGTAAAATTTGCCTGGTTCTTTGGTGTCTTTTGCTTGGCCTATTTATTATATTATAACAGACTTTCTCCTTGGACTTAAAGGCATGAATAACATACATACCAAATACTAATTTGCAAACATACAAATTAGTCCAGGAAAAAGAAAATACAATGATGATGGGGAAGGGCCAGTGGTCTAATTCAGTCATTCAGTTATTTTAAACTAATTTTCTTACAAGTAGTGACCACTTATTAAGGGTTGTTTGATTAGATTGAGCAACTTTTGTTTCTTCAAATCAGTTTATGAAACTGGAGACCACCACCAGTTTTCATGAAAAATCTACTCACCAACTTGCTAGGAAAGCAAGAACACAGCACTAGTAGCGATAGGACAACAAACACAGCTGCCAAACTTGTGGCAATACTGGATTTTTCATCTTGTTTCATGGTATCATGCCCTTCAAATCATGGGCTCTTGTCTCCAGTATTCCCGTAATTCTCCCCTCTGAAGTGATTATCTTTTTAGTGACATTTCAATGAAATTCCACTGCTTAGCCTTTAACCTTTGGATCTGTGCAAGTTTCTTATTCATTTGGTTGGTAGCAGAAATAGAGTGGAGCCTGCTGGTTAAAACCATGAATTCTCTCAGGCAACAGGCTGGGCCTGTGTCATAACTCTGTGATATTAGCTGGTGGCCTTGGCTTCTTAACCTTAAAGACTCAGTTTTCCCATATGTGAAATGAAAATTATAATAGTTCCTTCTTTCTGTGGATATTATATGAGATGAAAGAATGTATTGGAATGATTAGCATAGCTCCTAAGAGATAGTAATCGCTCGTAAATATTCTTCAGTAGTAGCAGCAAGAGCCTTTGGAGTTCCTGGCTGCAGCTGCCTTATTCCTAAGACACACCCTCTCTCCTAACTCTCTGCCTGCCTTGCAGGACAGACCTCCAGAGCACAATCACTCCTTTCCAAATTTTATCCTTGGTGAATTGCAATAAGAGCTCTGCCCTGTGGTTTCTCCCAAGTACCCACTAAGAGGGGAGACAGAAGTTCATGAGGAAAATATTGCATTGAGATCACATAGGCTTTGCAAATCTAAGACCAAAATCTCCCTTGCTTTGGGACTTGTTCGGTTGCATTTTATCTGCATGGCTCTGGAAAGGCCAGGTGAAGAAAATGAGCACATGAGCATAAATAGTCACTTTCCCCATCTCTGTTGATGGATATTTGCCCATTAATTCCCTTTGCACCCGCTCTCTCATGCCTTCATTTTCCCTATGCAATTACTGGTCCTAAATCCTTTCAGAGAAGGGAAAGCATGCATCCCCAACAGCATTTTGCATCTACAAATCAAATGTATAATTGGCATCTCATGACGGGTACCCACAAATCACAGAGCATTTGAAATTACAGGCATAAGATCGAGAGGGCATTTTCAGCCCTGTCTGACAAGGTCTTTATAAACCTGTTTGAAAATAATAGGACAGTCCCCAAATCTCTCATTCTAATCCCATTTGCTATTATTTTAAAATCATTGTATTTGCCAAACTTACATAATTTTTCAGCTATCAGTGGAAGATCTTATTCAATACTCAATAATCTCTTTTCCTGCTGTGTGACCCTCTACAAATAAAAATGCTATAACAAAAGACACTATCAAAAATACAATAACTGTGTATCCAAATTACTTTGGAGCACTCCAAAATCATTTAAGATGATTGGATGCCAATATATCCAAGTGTCTTGCTAAACCTTATCATGGAGGTGCCAAGGGTCAAGTCTTAGTTTTCTTTTGAGCCAGCGTCCTTCTCTGTAGAGCTGTATCTTTAATAGGATTTGAATTTCACTTGAGCTTTCCTGAAAGTCATGCACATGAATTCAGTGACTGCCCCATTACAGAGGCATTAGAGTGATATCCCTTACACATGAAAATCATTAACCTGGGATTCTAGGCATTTATAAAGACTTATGACCCCTGCCAACTTAAAAAAAAAAGGCATTAGATAGCACAAAAAAACATCATTTGGCTTTTCCTGTATCCTTTGCTTGCAGTTCACCGAAGTATAGATTAAGTTGCTGTTCGATTCCATGTGGGAAGCACTTAGTCCAAGTGGGGATGTCGGGATGGCATCCGTAACCTGTGACTATTATTTCATCTCTTCTTCTCTTACAGGCTATGCCCAAGAGGAACAGCTGAAGGCAGAGGAGGGATTAAAAGAAGAAGAGGAGGAAGAAGAAGACAGTGGCTCAGTAGCTCAGCCTCAGGGCAGCAATGACCCAGCGACAGACGAGGAGCTAGAAACAGGCGCGGAGCAGAAAGGCTGCTTCAGCTACCAGAACTCTCCCGGAAGTCATTTGTCCAATCAGGATGCCGAGAACGAGTCTCTGCTGAGCGATGCCAGTGATCAGGTGTCAGACGTCAAGAGCATCTGCGGCCGAGATGCCTCGGACAAGAAAGCAAGCATGCACCCCAAGCTCCCAAACGAAGCCCACAATTGCATGGATAAGATGACTGCTGTCTACGCCAACATCTTGTCCGATTCCTACTGGTCAGGCCTGGGTCTGGGCTTCAAGCTGTCCAACAGCGAGAGGCGGAATTGTGACACCCGAAACGGCAGCAGCAAGACTGATTTTGATTGGCATCAAGATGCTCTGTCCAAAAGCCTGCAGCAGAACTTGCCGTCCAGATCCGTGTCCAAGCCCAGCCTGTTCAGCTCGGTCCAGCTGTACCGGCAGAGCAGTAAGATGTGCGGCACTGTCTTCACCGGGGCCAGCAGATTCCGGTGCCGGCAGTGCAGTGCCGCCTACGACACCTTGGTCGAGTTGACTGTGCACATGAACGAGTCGGGCCACTACCAAGATGACAACCGCAAAAAGGACAAGCTTAGACCCACGAGCTATTCAAAGCCCCGGAAAAGGGCTTTCCAGGACATGGACAAGGAAGATGCTCAAAAGGTTCTGAAATGCATGTTTTGTGGCGACTCCTTTGATTCCCTCCAAGACTTGAGCGTCCACATGATAAAAACAAAACATTACCAAAAAGTGCCTTTGAAGGAGCCAGTACCAACCATTTCATCAAAAATGGTCACTCCGGCCAAGAAACGCGTCTTTGATGTCAATCGGCCATGTTCCCCTGATTCCACCACAGGGTCGTTTGCAGACTCGTTTTCTTCTCAGAAAAGCGCCAGCTTGCAGCTGTCCTCCAACAATCGCTATGGCTACCAGAACGGCGCCAGCTACACCTGGCAGTTTGAGGCCTGCAAGTCCCAGATCTTAAAGTGTATGGAGTGTGGGAGCTCCCATGATACCTTGCAGCAGCTCACCACCCACATGATGGTCACAGGTCACTTTCTTAAGGTCACCAGCTCTGCCTCCAAGAAAGGGAAGCAGCTAGTGTTGGATCCACTGGCTGTGGAGAAAATGCAGTCTCTGTCAGACGCCCCAACCAATGATTCTCTGGCTCCCAAGCCATCAAGTAACTCAGCTCCGGACTGTACAGCCTCTACAACTGAGTTAAAGAAAGAAAGCAAAAAAGAAAAACCAGAGGATATCAACAGGGATGAGAAAGTCATGAAGAGCGAGGAATATGAAGACCCTCTGCAAAAGCCCTTAGACCCTACGATTAAATACCAGTACCTGAGGGAGGAGGACTTGGAGGATGGCTCAAAGGGTGGAGGGGACATTCTGAAGTCACTGGAAAATACTGTTACCACAGCCATCAACAAAGCCCAAAACGGGGCTCCCAGCTGGAGCGCATACCCCAGCATCCATGCGGCCTACCAGCTGTCCGAGGGCACCAAGCCATCCTTGCCCATGGGGTCCCAGGTACTACAGATTCGACCAAATCTTGCCAACAAGTTGAGGCCAATTGCACCGAAGTGGAAGGTAATGCCGCTGGTGTCTGTGCCCACAAGCCTGGCCCCATACACTCAAGTCAAGAAGGAGCCAGAAGACAAAGATGAAACTGCCAAGGAGTGTGGGAAAGAAAGTCCCCACGAAGATGTGGCATCATCCTTCAGCCATAGCGAGGGGGATTCTTTCTCCAAAAGTGAGACCCCCTCAGAAGCCAAAAGGGCTGAGCCTTGTGCCCCGAAGGAGGAGGACAAGCTGATGAAGGAGGGTGGGGAGAAAGAGAGAGCCCAGCCCCTGGAGCCAACCTCTTCTCTCAGCAATGGCTGCTCCCTCCCCGGCCATGCCCCGGCCCTGCCATGCATCAACCCGCTCAGCGCCCTGCAGTCCGTCCTGAACAATCACCTGGGCAAAGCCACGGAACCCTTGCGCTCTCCTTCCTGCTCCAGCCCAAGCTCAAGCACAATTTCTCTTTTTCACAAGTCGAATCTCAGTGTCACGGACAAACAGGTTTTGAGTCCTGCCTCCACAAGGCCAGCCAGTGTGTCTAGGCGCTACCTGTTTGAGAACAACGATCAGCCTATCGACCTGACCAAGTCTAAAAGCAAGAAAGCCGAGTCCTCGCAAGCACAATCCTGTACATCCCCGCCTCAGAAGCACGCCCTGTCTGACATCGCTGACATGGTCAAAGTCCTCCCCAAAGCCACCACCCCAAAACCTGCCGCTTCCTCGAGGGTGCCTCCCATGAAACTGGAAATGGATGTCAGACGCTTTGAGGATGTCTCCAGCGAAGTCTCAACTTTGCACAAAAGAAAAGGGCGGCAGTCCAACTGGAACCCTCAGCATCTTCTGATCTTGCAGGCTCAGTTTGCCTCCAGCCTCTTCCAGACCTCGGAGGGCAAATACCTGCTGTCCGATCTGGGCCCACAAGAGAGAATGCAGATCTCAAAGTTTACGGGACTCTCCATGACAACGATCAGCCACTGGCTGGCGAACGTCAAGTACCAACTTAGGAAAACAGGCGGGACAAAATTTCTGAAGAACATGGACAAAGGACACCCGATCTTTTATTGTAGTGACTGTGCCTCCCAATTTAGAACCCCTTCCACCTACATCAGTCACTTAGAATCTCACCTGGGTTTCCAGATGAAGGACATGACCCGCATGGCCATGGAACAGCAAAGCAAAGTGGAGCAAGAGGTCTCCCGGGTGTCTTCGGCTCAGAGGTCTCCAGAAACAATAGCTGGCGAAGAGGACACAGACTCTAAATTCAAGTGTAAGTTGTGCTGTCGGACATTTGTGAGCAAACATGCAGTAAAACTCCACCTAAGCAAAACGCACAGCAAGTCACCCGAACACCATTCACAGTTTGTAACAGACGTGGATGAAGAATAGCTCTGCAGGTATGGGTTTCTCCCAGGTGATCGGGACAGTAGCGTTGTGAGGAGCTTCCTGAAGGGCGATGGGTCTGTTTAGAGGGAGTTAACGTCTCCCAGTACCAACAGGACAGTAGCTTGCTAGACTAGGACTTATTTGTATGGAAGTCTAGCACATGGTATGTCCTAGCTATTCTCTCAATTTCTCCAGGTTAGAGTTGGCGGATAGAATAAAATGGGTTTAGAGGGATGGAGTTCACGGACTCCTGCTTCGTGGTACCTCATCCCCTTAGTAACTCAAGGCCTGACTTTCAAGGTCCAGCCAAGACTACCCTTAATTTTCATGAATAAGGACAAACTTCCTTCCCTGTCCCATTTCACCCCCCTCACCTTCCCATGGCAATGCTAATGCCTTACAAGGTGATAAAAGGGTGAGCAACAGTATAAATATTGTAGAGTTCCTGGGGGCAGCCACTCTACAGAGATTTTTTGATCAGCTCATGAATAGTTTAAAGTTGTCTTTAGTATTATTATGTGTAATTGATGCTTTTTGCAGCTTACTTGCAGCAGTGGCTCCCTGCCACTTCCTTCCCTCTGTTCATTTCCTCCCTTAGGTTTCCTATGAAAAAGCACCCACGCTGTAGTCAGATGGTAGAAAAGCACTCTTCTCTGCAGAACATTGAGGTGAAAGAGGAAGCTTAGTCTCTTCTCTCACCTGTGGGTTTTCTGTAGGGTTGACTACTGTCAGAGCGTGCCTTTAATAGAGACAGACACAGTGCACACCCTTGAGATTTTATTTTACATAAAGCAACGAACGACTTTCTGCTCACCCGTAGGCAGTGCACATGGGGTCTCACAGCTTCAAGATAATTTGCATTATGCATCACAGAAGTTCTGTGCCTTATATTGTCACTGGTGCCCAGCCTCTGTGTCACCCCCAGGAAAGAGGACAGAGACCTAGGTCAAATACCTCAGCAAACGGGTCACACCAGCCATTTTCAAATGTTCTCAAGGCTGGGTCTTAAATCCCCATTATTTCCCTTTCATATTTTTTCTGCTTCCTGTTCTCTCCCCACATGCTAGGGACCCTCACACATAGTCGGGTTTCCTCTGCCTCTGGCCGCACCCCAAATGGGATAACCTGACTTACACCTTCCGCACTTGCCTGTCCAGCTGATGTCATGCTAGGTCACAGGTGAGCTCTTCTGGTTAATTTGCAGTAGGATATGAACGGCTACATATGACTTACGAGCCCTACTTATAAGTTATATATATAACTTACATATAGAAGTTATATAAGTTGACAGCCCAGCTCCTGCCATCAGACCATTTGTTTTGAAATGGGAGACTTTTAGATTAAGCCGCAGGTATGTGCACTTGCAGAGTTCCAGGTGGAGACGGGTATTTCTACGTGTGGCTTCAGGCTCACTTCTCATCAGACAGGGAAGTTCATTGAGTGGAAGGGTGGCCAATATGGAATAAAGGGTTAAAGTCTGGCACTGGTCCCTCCATGAGAAGGTCTAAGAGCTTCTGATGAAGGGGGACACCAACCTCATGGCTGTCTGGGTCCAAATACAGATGATTGTTTTGTTTGCATGCTTTTATCATGGTCATTAAAATGTGTTACTAGCAGATTCATCTCTTACTTTCCAAGCGTAACTTGTTCAGCTTACACAACTGAAAGAAAAGCCAAAATGCATCTATTCAGTCTATATGTGAGCTGGGGGTTGGCAACTTCCTATTTACTTACTACATAACATTTTAAATTTTCTTGTAACTTGTTCTTACACTTTCCTGGTACTTAAAGAAAAGAGGTGGCTATACACAGAATAGCCAGAGAGAAGAGGTTTCCAAACCCATAGTGGTAGGTCAAAACCGTGGTGAAGAGGACAAATAGGTAATGTTTATTTGTGCTACAATGAAGATGGATATTCCACCTGTTAGGTTTCTAATCACTTCAAAAATCATATTGTTACAGCATTGCGGTGTGTAAATAGAAGGGAGAAAAAACTCTTAGTCGAAATCTAAAACGTGCATACCTGTTGTAGGTAAGCAAAGGTAAACCGATGATTGGGGAAAACCTGAACAGGGGATAACTTACAAACCTGTTAAGTGTACGGAGAGATGAGCTCTTTCCTCCTCTCTGCATTTATACAGACTATTTCTGACTTGGACCTTTGCAGCACCGTATTACAGTTATATAATTATATGAAAGCAAAGCTCCCCTGTGCATAGACACTGTGATGCTGAGATGCTGAGCGGGGATTGCAGGAAAGCCACAGGACTGTATGTATGTTGGGTAGATACAAAAACTGGCACAGGTACTTGGTGTGTTTGTGTTAATACTAAAAATACTCTGGTCTGCCTAAAGGGCTCCCACATCTGCACAACGGTGGCCTTGTGATGCTTTGGTGACGTAGGGAAACCCTGCACCCTCTAGGCCCTCTTTCAGAACAATGTTCATGCAGTACCTTGCCAACTGCTCAGAGCTGTGCATATATGTATATATTTAAATGACCACAAAATGAAATGACTCTTATCTGGGACTCTAACGTTACTTGGTATGTACAATAGCACAAAATGATACGATGTTTTGGAAAACATGGTCAAGATTTTACGCACTGTTTGGGAGCTTTACCAGATCTATGTTCTAGGACGCAAATTTTGACCTCAGTTCTCTCTTTCCTTTCTTGGCTATGTCTTAAATCCTGCAAAGTGCTCTGCCAAATATTAAATGCAACTGTTCATTCAAAATTAATTTGAAAATATTAAACATGCATCCTTATTGGGGGGGCCTAATAATCTACAACAATTTCAATAGGTATTTGTGTATATCTTTAAAAACCACGTGCTCTTGAATAACAGAAATTAAACAAAGGGCAAATCAATGAGTCTAAAATGCATAAGGGCTTGAAATTCTAGTCATTACCCTGCAATATACTGTACACATTTAGCAGCACAGCTAGCCTGCAAACTGGTAGCGAGAATGAATTCTAGTCCTGTAAGCTGCCACCTTTGTTGTGGATGATTTGATAAAAATACACGTTCAGGGTGAACAGAATATACAGTTGCCAAATAAAATATAGGATGTCCAGTTAAATTAGAATTTCAGATAAATAAGTTTTTAGAATACTCATGTTCCAAACAGAGAATGGGCCATATTTGTACTAAAATAAAGGTATTCATTATTTATCTGAGATTGAAATTTAACTGGGAATTCTGTATTTTTTATCTGCTAAATCTGGCAACCCTAATGACAGGGATTATATGGCACCTGGAAAGAGCAAAATCAGCTGACCTAATCGATGTCTACAGGCAGCATCAACCATTCCTTCGTCCAGTAAATAAATATCCCACCCTCGCCCTCTCCCTCCTTCCTTCCCCTTGTCTTCCCTCTCTATGTTTCTTTCATCTTTCGACAAATATTGGTTGTGCTTTTACTGTGCACCAGTTTCTATTTAGCAATGGACAGATAATGGTGAGCCAGCAGCCTGCTGATTATGGTAGAGGCACAGGTGTCGGGCGAGTGGTGGGTGATACTTCACAAACATTATGTCACTTCATTCTCACAAACAGCCCTATGAGGTAGGGGTTGATTTAACCATGTAACAAGGGAAGAAAAAGAGGCAGAGAGAAATCCCACCATCTCTGGGCCTCACTCATCCATCTCACCTGTCTAGAAAGCCATCAAGTCATGCCACGCTCTGTGCCAATCCCAGGGAGGAAAACAGTGACCAGGGCAAGAGTCTGTCTTTGGGGCTAGTGGCAGACACGTCGATGGGCAGGTCTGAGGTAAAGGCTGAATGGAGCAGGCAGGAGCGGCATCTGCCCAGTCCCCTCTTTATGTGGACATAATCCTCCCCTCGTAGGAAAGTTACGAGATTTAAGTGAATGTACGCAGTTCTTTTCCATAAAGCCTGGTACCTAGTAGGTTCACAAGGGAAATTAGTTCTGGAAAGTCTCTGTAGGCCTCTACCATGTTCTTCAGCCTCGCCTAACATGTTTAGGACTTGTAGATTCTTCCTAGGTTGAGCTAATTTGATTTCAACCTGCCATTTGATTATAATGACAGCGATGATGGCAAAACTACCACTTCCTGGCCTCTTCCTATGAGCCAAGTGTGGATATTCATATCATCTTGACTGTGTGCAGAACTCAAAGGGTTTCATGATTTGCACGAAAACATACCTTAAGCATAGAGGTGGGACTCGAACCCAGGGCTGCCCAACACTCATCAGCTTTCTTCTTTCTTTGGCCACCTTGCCTGATGGTTTCTAGGTGTTTCTCATTCTCCCGGGTGTCTTCGGCTCAGAGGTCTCCAGAAACAATAGCTGGCGAAGAGGACACAGACTCTAAATTCAAGTGTAAGTTGTGCTGTCGGACATTTGTGAGCAAACATGCAGTAAAACTCCACCTAAGCAAAACGCACAGCAAGTCACCCGAACACCATTCACAGTTTGTAACAGACGTGGATGAAGAATAGCTCTGCAGGTATGGGTTTCTCCCAGGTGATCGGGACAGTAGCCTTGTGAGGAGCTTCCTGAAGGGCGATGGGTCTGTTTAGAGGGAGTTAACGTCTCCCAGTACCAACAGGACAGTAGCTTGCTAGACTAGGACTTATTTGTATGGAAGTCTAGCACATGGTATGTCCTAGCTATTCTCTCAATTTCTCCAGGTTAGAGTTGGCGGATAGAATAAAATGGGTTTAGAGGGATGGAGTTCACGGACTCCTGCTTCGTGGTACCTCATCCCCTTAGTAACTCAAGGCCTGACTTTCAAGGTCCAGCCAAGACTACCCTTAATTTTCATGAATAAGGACAAACTTCCTTCCCTGTCCCATTTCACCCCCCTCACCTTCCCATGGCAATGCTAATGCCTTACAAGGTGATAAAAGGGTGAGCAACAGTATAAATATCGTAGAGTTCCTGGGGGCAGCCACTCTACAGAGATTTTTTGATCAGCTCATGAATAGTTTAAAGTTGTCTTTAGTATTATTATGTGTAATTGATGCTTTTTGCAGCTTACTTGCAGCAGTGGCTCCCTGCCACTTCCTTCCCTCTGTTCATTTCCTCCCTTAGGTTTCCTATGAAAAAGCACCCACGCTGTAGTCAGATGGTAGAAAAGCACTCTTCTCTGCAGAACATTGAGGTGAAAGAGGAAGCTTAGTCTCTTCTCTCACCTGTGGGTTTTCTGTAGGGTTGACTACTGTCAGAGCGTGCCTTTAATAGAGACAGACACAGTGCACACCCTTGAGATTTTATTTTACATAAAGCAACGAACGACTTTCTGCTCACCCGTAGGCAGTGCACATGGGGTCTCACAGCTTCAAGATAATTTGCATTATGCATCACAGAAGTTCTGTGCCTTATATTGTCACTGGTGCCCAGCCTCTGTGTCACCCCCAGGAAAGAGGACAGAGACCTAGGTCAAATACCTCAGCAAACGGGTCACACCAGCCATTTTCAAATGTTCTCAAGGCTGGGTCTTAAATCCCCATTATTTCCCTTTCATATTTTTTCTGCTTCCTGTTCTCTCCCCACATGCTAGGGACCCTCACACATAGTCGGGTTTCCTCTGCCTCTGGCCGCACCCCAAATGGGATAACCTGACTTACACCTTCCGCACTTGCCTGTCCAGCTGATGTCATGCTAGGTCACAGGTGAGCTCTTCTGGTTAATTTGCAGTAGGATATGAACGGCTACATATGACTTACGAGCCCTACTTATAAGTTATATATATAACTTACATATAGAAGTTATATAAGTTGACAGCCCAGCTCCTGCCATCAGACCATTTGTTTTGAAATGGGAGACTTTTAGATTAAGCCGCAGGTATGTGCACTTGCAGAGTTCCAGGTGGAGACGGGTATTTCTACGTGTGGCTTCAGGCTCACTTCTCATCAGACAGGGAAGTTCATTGAGTGGAAGGGTGGCCAATATGGAATAAAGGGTTAAAGTCTGGCACTGGTCCCTCCATGAGAAGGTCTAAGAGCTTCTGATGAAGGGGGACACCAACCTCATGGCTGTCTGGGTCCAAATACAGATGATTGTTTTGTTTGCATGCTTTTATCATGGTCATTAAAATGTGTTACTAGCAGATTCATCTCTTACTTTCCAAGCGTAACTTGTTCAGCTTACACAACTGAAAGAAAAGCCAAAATGCATCTATTCAGTCTATATGTGAGCTGGGGGTTGGCAACTTCCTATTTACTTACTACATAACATTTTAAATTTTCTTGTAACTTGTTCTTACACTTTCCTGGTACTTAAAGAAAAGAGGTGGCTATACACAGAATAGCCAGAGAGAAGAGGTTTCCAAACCCATAGTGGTAGGTCAAAACCGTGGTGAAGAGGACAAATAGGTAATGTTTATTTGTGCTACAATGAAGATGGATATTCCACCTGTTAGGTTTCTAATCACTTCAAAAATCATATTGTTACAGCATTGCGGTGTGTAAATAGAAGGGAGAAAAAACTCTTAGTCGAAATCTAAAACGTGCATACCTGTTGTAGGTAAGCAAAGGTAAACCGATGATTGGGGAAAACCTGAACAGGGGATAACTTACAAACCTGTTAAGTGTACGGAGAGATGAGCTCTTTCCTCCTCTCTGCATTTATACAGACTATTTCTGA